GAGGCCACAGGAGAGGATTTATGAATGGCACTGGTAGGTCATCATTTGACAGTAACAACATGGCAGATGTAGTACGTCCGAATTTCATTCGTTCTACCCATATTAATACTATATAGAACATATAGTATTAATATGTAGCACCTACTCAGACAGTACGCCATTTCGGATGCACCAACTGAATCTTAGAACTGCTTTGAACGAATCGTTTGAGAATCGTTGGAAAATTAGGTGATATTAAATGCATATTTTGAGAAAGCAAAAGCGTTTTTTGGCCTTATAATCCTATTGTAGGAGACTCCCTAAACAATATTAGGAACCTTAAAAATGGCATAATAGGGGCACTTTAATAGCTGCGGATTATTTCTCTTCAGATTCACTTCCGAAACCCTTCATCAGTGTTAGTGATGATGATGTCCAGCTCAGCATATCATGTGAAATACCACTTTCAGTCAGAGCTGATTTCATCTGTAGCCTCTACACTGAGGACGATGTTCTTCTGTATCAACGTGTCTCTCAGTGGAGAAAGTCTGGAAAGAATCTTTGTATGTTTTATGTAAGTCGTAGTGAACTCTTCATACGATCATCAGTGAACAGCAGACAGCTGATCTGTGTTTATTCACTCAAGACTGAACCTGAGATCAGATCACCACACAGTGACACATACACCATCAGAGGTGAGTTATTATTGTTATCATTTATAAAACATGAGCACATTTAATGATTAGAGACACCTGTATAATTATTTAGCCAGTATGATTTATTATGTAGGCAAGTAGTATCAAAGTCCCTTTAAGGCAAGTCATGTCACTCGGCGGCCATCTTTGAACGCCTCTCGGGTATGCAAGTGCAGCTCCTATCGCTGTGAATGGGGAAACATCAAATTCTCCAAAACTCACAAAGCTTATGATTAAATTTCATATTTGAAATCAACTTTATGGATTAGCGATTGGCTCTTTTACTCAGAAGGTGGGGCTTCTTTTGATAGAGAGGCCATATTGCGTGTTGCATTTTTCCCCATTCAAAACCTATTGAAAGGGTCTTTATGTAAAAAATCCATCTAGACTTTTTACAGAGATAGTATCATTCTATTTTTCTCATATTGGTTTTGTTGTTGTTGTTTTGAAGTTACTGACTTGACTTTTTTTTTATTGATGAATCTTCCACAAACTATGACACGGCAATAAGAGCAATGTCTCATTCCCTCATTTCAGGGAACCGAGGTTGCGTGAGTAACTGAGAGCATTTGCTTCCGATTTGGTCACTCTACATTGCTATGGGAACATATAAAATCCCACCGTGTCACAGCGATGGAGCCTGGCTCGACTAAGTATGTCAAGTTTCACATACGGAACCGTAATGAGAACGGCAATGATATTGGCGATCTTGTTAAACAGCTCAGGTATACAGGACCTAGTCGAAACCATGTAAAAGTCAAGGGGGGGGGTGGTCACACCAGGGGCGGAGTTAACGCTGGTGAAACAGAGAATGTGAAATCTCCGGCGCCATCACATATAGATTAGTTGACGTTTGTTTAATTTCAATGAAATTATGTGTTATGATGCAACGGCCGTACCGGTGCTCAAATAAGCAGAGCATGATGGTGATCATGTCCTAAAAGACGTGATGAACAATATCATAACAATGTGATAAGCTGATAGGGACAGCATTGAATTAGTGGTACGTCAATTCAGGGGTGTATACGACCTAGTCAAAACCACTGAGGCAAGCAGCTCAGATCATAACTGAGGCTGAGTAGGCTTGTGCGTTGCTCGCACTGACAGCACATGTGAGGCAAGGGACGACACATCTAGGTTATAAAACCTCGCGAAAGCACTGGGTGACGACCAGCCTGCCACCATGCAAATGTCCTGAACAGATATGCCATTTGCCCAGGCCCACGAGGACGCGAGTCCGCGGGTTGAGTGGGCCCGAACCCCTATAGGACATTTCACGCCCTTAGAGCCATAAGCCAAAGCAATTGCGTCGACAATCCAGTGTGACAATTGAAGGACACCACATCTTGAGTGATGAGGGAGGGGCGGAGAACAGCGGTCATGGAGCGCACTGGAAGGGGACCTGCAGCAGGGGGGTGAGGAGCGCGTGGACACTGAGCCGGCGCGGGCTCGTCACCTGATGCTGACAGATCCGCATCAGAAGCTCGCAGCACTTTCCTCCTTGGCTCGAAAGAGGCTGCAGAGGAAGAGCGCGACAGGGCTAGTTGGGCGAGTTCATCGCCTTGGACGATGGCCACATGGAGCTTGAGAGTCCGGAGGCTCATATCTCCGCAGTGGGGGCAGTCCGACCCCCCAAGCGCCGCCTCTGTGTGGGCGCGACTCAGGCAGAAGACACATGACTTGTGGTCATCAGAGAGTTCGATTGGCTCTGCGCAGGAGAGGCAATCGCGAGTTATCCTTTTTTCCGAAGCTCACCGGAACACAGCAGGGGAAGAGAAGGCGTGACTGCTGCGTGTAGATCACGGTGAGTAGTCTTGTTGATAGGCTTCTTGCTTCTAGTAGAAGGTTGGCTGAAGAAAAAGATTCTGAATAGATGACGTACATGTGCTGCTTTATGTAGAGTGGGAACCCCTCATATTTTGCGCGCTTGAATGCTATTGGCCAGTTTCACTGGCGTCATTCAATAAGGCTTCAGTAGTATTTGGAGGAAAGGGTAATTCCCATAGCAATATGGAGTGACCAAATCGAAAGGGAACGTCATGCATAGACTAACTTGTCTCTTTGCATTTAAATATATATTTATTAACACTAGTACCTAAAAACCTCTACATGGACAGAAATGATGAGAGATCTTTATTTGTTGTCCAAAGATTAATAATAGTCTTATGGGTTTGAACTGACACGAGGGTGAGTAAATTATTTTTCAGAATTTTCAGTTTTGAGTGAATTATCAATTCGAGTTTCCGTCTCGTCTGGTCCTTCTCTTTCATATTTGGTTTTCTTTTTTGTTTTCCTTATCCATGTTATATTGTTTTCTGTAAAAACTAACACCGCTATCTGCATTAACAAAAACGTGACCATGGCAACAGTCGATTTTTTTTATGGCAAAACCTGGGTCGCTGTCGTGAAACACTTAACGGTTTCCCTTTGCTAAGGGAAGTGTTTAAGGAATTATATGCAACACCCTTAAGTCATTCCTTAGGTAAGGGCAAATCACGCCTTAAAGGGGTGGTTCACTGGTTTTTTTCTAGGCTTGATTGTGTTTATGGGGTGCAGTCTAACATGTGTTAATGCTTAGTTTAAAAAAAAAAAACATAATTGTTCACATAATTCACCTTTATACCGCACCGCTCTGTCCCTTCTCTGAGAAACGGGCTGATCTTTTCCTGTTTTTATGAAGCCCTATTTCCCTCATAAATAACCCTACCAGCCGTTTTTGTAGGCATTAAACTGCCAGAATTTTAAAAGACGATATCTCCGTTTGCATTGAACTTTCAGCTTTGTAACTTTGCAGATATTGTTTATGCTCAAACAGCAACATTACACACTAACTAATGTTAAAAAAGTGAAATCGCAATCAACCACCCCTTTAAGGAAAAACTTAAGGTGCTTTATGCAGCTGGGCACTGATCTTTATATTTTGTGAGACCAACTAATACCACAAAACATCACTGAACTCATCAAATCTTTGCTAATATGTATTTTTGTGCTGTTGTTTTTCCTTCAAAATGACAGAATTAAAAAGGACTGAAAGGAAATGTTTGTGCAGTATGAAGAGTCACTTGCTTCTAATCTGAGATCTCTATATGAACACATTATATGTTTTCTTTTTTATTCATTAGATCTTCCTCAGGTCAAGTTGAGAGCATCTGCTTCAGTTATTCTGGAAACAGACACAGTTGAGCTGAGCTGTGAGAATACTGAAGATCTGAAGATGGAGAAGTGTTACTTCTACTAATATGTATTTTTGTGCTGTTGTTTTTCCTTCAAAATGACAGAATTAAAAAGGACTGAAAGGAAATGTTTGTGCAGTATGAAGAGTCACTTGCTTCTAATCTGAGATCTCTATATGAACACATTATATGTTTTCTTTTTTATTCATTAGATCTTCCTCAGGTCAAGTTGAGAGCATCTGCTTCAGTTATTCTGGAAACAGACACAGTTGAGCTGAGCTGTGAGAATACTGAAGATCTGAAGATGGAGATGTGTTACTTCTACATAAATGGAGAACAAAGTAACTCAAAAGTGAGCTCATCATGCCAGCTCTCACTCACTGGATCTCAGATCAGTGTTTGGTCTGGAGGTCAGAGTTCATCTGTGAGAATAAGCTGCTTCTACACTGTGATGAAGGGACAAATTAAAAAACCATCTGCTCACTCTGATCCAGTGACAGTTACAGTCCAGAGTGAGTTTTTTTTATTAATATACTTATGTGAAGTAGTATGGGTGAGATGATGTCAAGTTACATCACCAGTATGTGACATATGCTATTTTTGTATCTGTACCTTCAACAAACAAACTTTGCTTTAAAGTTTGCAAATGATGTAAATTGACTCCCTGTAATTCTGATAATTTGTCTCTGCAGTTTCAACACCAACCACCACTGAACATACGAGTACAAAAACAGCCAAGAAAACTAGTAAGTTACTGATAACACATTTTCTAGTTATTCTGGATTAAATCTGAGAAACGATTCCCTTCTAAAAAGTGATTCCCCTTGCAATATGTTATTTTTATATTTGCAGACCTCCAGTCCAAGACAATCCTCTCAACAAGCACAACAAAGGAAACCATTAGTAAGTTCATCCACTCTTCCTCAATGGCAAAAGTAACTTTGTAGAATTAATATGTTGAATTCAAAAACTATATTCAGAAATAGAGCTGGGATCTATTTTCAAAGATTATTGGTACATGGTAAGCAGCAGCACTCAGAATTAAAAAAATATGTGGTTCATGATTATGCTGCTTTTTAAACATGGTTACTAATTGTTTATGAATTATGTATATATTTTTTTTCAAACATTCTAGTTTAATACTGTAACTACATGTTTTGTCACAACTTTTTCTGCAGTTTCCATGGCAACCTCTACTCCGCCTGGTAACAGTAGAATGTCAGAATATAGTAAGTACTGTAGATGACACGTTAAAAAGCAAATGGCAAAATTGCTTTGCTCCAAGATGATGTCTGCACAAAATGTTAAGCCATTGAATATTATGTTTCACCCAGTATGCTTGCATATTTATTATTATTCTCAATAATAACACATTTGTCTCAATTAAATGTGACTACATTTTAGCTCTGACATACTTGCATCATACATATGAATGCTTCTTTAATATAACTTTAATATTTTGAATCTATCCTCCACTTTACAACTGTGTGTTTATCATGGTCACTGCTACAATATTTAGTTCAGTACAACATAAAGATACATGCAGTCTTTGCAGAGTACACATGCAGAGTAAAGATTAGTGTTCAATTAAAACATGTACCTGGCAAAATAACTATTATTTCAAAGTGTTTATTGTATCTCATATAGCACATTATTCTACTATTTCAGCTTCAGCAACAATGGCTGTCATTCTCACATCTGAAACCCCATCATCCCACAGAACAGGTAACTTACTGCATCTTTTCTAAATATCAGAAGAACAACATATAAGGAAAATTCTCCTTTTTCATGAAATCACTGAAACACCACTTCAACAATACAAATTTCTTCCTAATGTTTACATTTCAACTGATCGTCCTAAAGGTCCAATACAATACACAGGTTTTCTGAATCCTTTTCCTTTTGGGCTGATTTGACTGTTGCATGAATTAGATGTTTTCTTTCAAATTTCTTTAAAATAAGTAAAACAAATCTACATGTCCATACATTTTCTCAGTTCGTTTGAGTAACACTTTAATTCTCAAGTGACTGATGCATATAGAAAACAAAACATGGATAAACATGGATTAAAGTGTTGATATTGTTTTGACAGTATGGTTTATAGTGCTGGTTTTCACTGGTGTTGCTGTAATTTTATCTGGACTCACAGGACTCATCTGTCTCTGCCGGTTTGCAAGTAAGTACTTTGTAGGTTCTGTTGTATATGTGTATACTAGGCTTCATACAGAATTTATCATGCAATCTAGAATTGACTATTGACATACTGTTTAATTCAGAAGCTCATTGTTTTCTAGGTAAAAAAAGAAGAAAACAGTAAGTTTTTTTTAAATTTTTGTTGTCTAGCTGTATGTGTAAATGTGAAATTAGCTTCTTATCTGATATATTCATGTATGAAGAGATGTCATAAATATCAACATTTAATTTTTTTTGCTATAAAATGAGATCAAAAAAACTGAATGAGCCCAGTCAAGAAACTGGTACGGTGAGTATCACCCTATTTATAATAATAAACATTTATAATAATCCATAATTAATAAGAATTGTTGAAAAGGGACTTGATCTTAATTATTGATTGTTATTCAGAGTTGTTCTGGACCTGCAGAGACATATTCTCTGATCACTTCTGTACCAGCCACATCTCAGCCCATATCTGTAGGTGAGAGAACATCATTCTCAGGAAACTTGAAACTTAGTAACAGATGTCACCAACTAAGCTAAATAAACCTGCTGAGTTAGAAACCCTGTACAGCGACCACAGATTCTCAGAAACTGGTACCATTTCCATTTAGCAGTAACCCTCATGCTGTTCCAAACATATATGACTTTCTTTCTTCTGTGGAACACAAAATGAGCTATTTTGCAGGACGTTTACACTGTCAATACAATGAAAGCAGCAGTTTTGAAGGGCTTTTGAGCTTCTAAAAAAACAAGTTTGAAGCTTTAGGCCTGGAGTGTTTAAACCTGTTCCTGCTGAGTTTAGCTCCTACCAGCTCTGGAAGTTTCTAGTGGCTGCGTCCGAAAGCTTAGGTTGCTGACTTGTTGCCTTGCTGCCTTGATCAGGCAATGACTTTGCAGGCAGTTTTTGTGCACAAAGACACCTCACAAAATTGATTTCAGACAGGCTTCTGAGTCAGCAACACGGTTTAGAGTGAGCTCTGTTGATAATATGCAAATATTTAATTAACATAATATTAATTTCTCTCTAGAAATAACATCAAAAGGGGAAAAAGTTGGTCAAAAACATACATTTACACACAAACTGACCACCAACTGCAACTTTCAGACACCATAGTTATTTTTTTCTCTTGTTTTGGATGTTTTTCTATTGACTCTGTTTGACCCTCTTCATCATGGTGTTCTTTCAAAGGCCTCGAACACCCAGAGTCACACCAGGACAGCACAGCAGTTCCCACAGACACTCGTTCTTTCATTACATCAGTAAATCCATTTACCAGCCCTCAGGTAATGAAATGTTCCTTTCATTAAAGTAGTCTTTCATATATCATGAGGAATCGAATGTCTAGGCCTACTATAAAAACACACTGTGGTTTCACAACTCGAAACTTCCTCTCTGGCCCAAAAGCTACATCTTACATGCCCACATTTAGGCAATGAAAACCTTGGCCGAACACATTGAGTGAATATGGAGAAAGTGGGACAAATTCTAAATTCATCAAAACACTGTTGCACAGAATGAGTCTGAGAAGAGCTGATTCTGCTGTACAAATACACTAAAGCTTCATGACAAAGAGCTTGTTCATCAAGGTCAGAACATTTCTAAAATGATATGACTGGTTCAAATGCTTCTGCATTGCATTACAGATGCTTTGGTCAATAAAAAAACGGAAATGGAGAAACACAGAGGAAAGTGTGGTATGTGTGAACAGTGTCATCCACCAAACCCACAAAACCAAATGAGACATGCACCATGAACAGAATACTAACACATTTCCTTCATGTGTGTCTTTTCTATCTTTTTTTACATTCTCCCTTAAGAATGTTCATCACCTGTACTCCACAATCCCTGACAAACCAGTGCACTCCAACACAGGAGATCAAGTCTACAGTTTGGTGAAGATGCACTGAGGAATCTCAAATCTTATTTCATCATGTACAGCCACCTTAAGTTGAACCACTAAAATATGTTTTACTCATTTTCCAGAGTAAATTTTAAACCATCTGAATTTCTGATCGACATATTTTGATACAAATATATATATATTTTTTTCCTCAAAGAATCTATGCTTCAACAGCACCTCTTTAATGCACATGAGTATGTGTTTTGAAAACATTACCCATATAAAACATATACTGTCATTTACAGCCTGCATTATGGAATTGTTTACTTACGGTTTGCGGTGCAGCTGCTGTCAGATCCAATACAGTTGGTTGCTTCGTCTTTCAACAGAAGTTTCTTTGCAGACTTCCCATTGCACTCGTTTACACAACGCAGTCAAATGCTCCGAACAAACATAAAATCCTCCAACAGGATCCGATCCATTCACTTTGTTGTTCCTGAAGGCTATATATAGATATACAACCCAGAGTACATGTCAAAGCTATCACTATGGCAAGCCAAAAGGGTCAGAATTACTCTATAGATGAATCACGTTTACATTCAATACCATTTACGTGTCGGTGACCAGAGGCCATATTCACAAAACATTTTATCTTACCACTAAGAATTCTCCTAAATAACAGTATAAGTCCTTAGTTAAAGGGATAGTTTACCCAAAAATGATTCTGTCATTAATTATTTACCCTCATGTCATTCCAAACCCATAAGACCTTCGTTCATCTTCGGAACACAAATTAAGATATTTTGATGAAATCCAAGAGCTTTCTGTCCCTCCATAGACAGCAACACAACTACCACATTCAAGGCCCAGAAAGGTATTAAGAACATCGATAAAATAGTCCATGTGACATCAGTGGTTCAACCGTAATTTTGTGAAGCTATGAGAATACTTTCTGTGTGCAAAGAAAACACAGAGAACTTCATTCAACAATTTCTTCTCTTTCGTGTCAGTCTCTGCCACGCATTCAGGAGAGTACCACGACGCACAATCTGAAGATTTCGACAGAGAGGATGATGTGCAATTTATTTCCCCAGCCTTACTTATTTGAACCAGAATATACAGACGATGAACTAAGAGAGATTTATGTTCTATGTAAGAACGCCGGCTCCTGCGTCAGCAGCACCACACGCATGCTGTGGTACTCTCGTGAACACTGAACACCCAAATTTACGCTCATCTTTTACAGCGTTTGGAATCAGGACGATCCCACAATATCCAAATGAGTCAGTTTGGTTAGATAAACGATCAAGGGAAATTAAATTTCTCACGTCATGACAACTTTAAAGGAGACATATTATGCCCCTTTTTACAATATGTAATATAAGTCTCTGGTGTTCCCAGAATGTGTCTGTGAAGTTTCAGCTCAAAATACCCCACAGATCATTTATTATATCATTTAGAAAATGCCTATTTTGAGTGGAAGCAGAAACACGCAGTTTTTCTTGCGTGTCTCTTTAAATGCAAATGACCAGCTGCTCCCCGCCCCCTTTTCCAGAATAGAGCTGCACCATTACAGCTTGTACCTGCTAAAAACATCTGTTTTGGTTCTGATTATCATATTTATCGCACTGAAATCATGTGTTTTAAACCATATTAGTTTAAACTTCTTATATATGGTTTTCTGAGTGCACGTATTCGAAGCACACGGACAGCGGCTGTCACAGCATGTGAGTACTAAACTAAGTTCTCATTCACACACAAGTTTACGTTAAAAAACACACAGGAGTTACAAAAACAGTCGGTTATGTCTGTGAAGGTAAACAGCTGGGAAATAAATCTGTTTATTTTAGATCTGTGTGGCAGCAGCAATATACAGTAAATAAATCAATAAATCCACTGCTCTGTTGTCTCCTCTGAGGCTGGGACTCTAAACAGTGTTCTGTGCTCGTCTGTGCAGCCAAAGACAGAAGAGTTAGCATGTTTGCTCAAACTTTCGCCATGGCATTAGAGCTGGTACACATTTGTCGCTTGCGAAATCAAAATGACGGTGCCGTGGGTGTAAACTTACAGACTAAGGGGCGGTAATATTATAATGAGATCCCTTTGCCACGTCACTAGGGGAGCGAAATCAGACACGCTGTTTTCTCAGACGCTTGCAGAAAAAGGCTTACCAAAACTAAGTTACTGGGTTAATCTTTTTCATGTTTTCTTGGTTGGTAGATGTACCGGGGTCCTGATTATAGCACTTAAAACCTGGAAAAGTCAGATTTTCATGATGTGTCACCTTTAACAGTTTTTGTAAGAAAAATAATGAATTATGATTCATAAATACATATTTATGGCGAAAACAGAAAAAGGACATTCCCTAAAGTCCCTGCATGATGTCACTTATGATTATACTTTATTTTAATAGTTTTGTTTATTTTTATTTTTGTTATCAATAATGTGCATTCTCTCAAACCCACTCATATATTTTTCACTGTGAATTTCTGGCAACCACAGCTGCCATGGTTTTTTTATTTTACAGAATATTTTTTTAAAGTTTAAGTTTTTTGTGTCATTTCCACTGAAAAAGCTACATTTAGAATACAAATGTTGTCAGATTTTATTACTTTCATGATTTGTGCCCATTTAAAAATAAAATACATTACATGTCAAGAGATATTAGAGATCTTTGCCTTATAACTCAAAGTTTAAAAAATAGCACACTCAGTGAATCAGAAAAATGATGGAAAATATGTTTTTATTTACATAACATGTCTTTCCTTTGATGTAAAGGGATTAGGCAATTAAAAGTTATTTTCCAAGTACTTTTTTAAGCAGGCAAAACTTATAAAGTTTGTGAAGAATCCACATCTCATCTTTTGATGACAATGTACGCTATTCTTACAAACAGCTCTGTGAAATATTCCTATTTTGTCACGTCATGCATCTTAAGACTCCAAATTAAACACAGAATAAATCTGAGAGGCAGGCAAGTAATAAATAAATAAAATACATTTCTGCTCAGTTTTTGTCTGCGCTTCACACAGTACCGATTAAGACTAAATTTGAGATGTATGCACCTTGAAGAACAGCTACATGGACTGCGTTTAGCTGTGACGCTCGTGGTGGCCACTGATATCCAGGCATCTTCACTGGTCCACATGTAAGAAGAAAACACTCAGCACATTCTAACACAGTCTTTGTAATAAATATCATCAATCTTCATAATCCAGACATCACAAAGATTATTTTGTCTTTGTGGACTCATGTTTGGCATAAGCAAGGCTCTCTGATTCGAGTGTATAGTAGGCCTAATGGGTCAAGGCAGGGGTCAGAGGTCACCTGCTGATCACGAACGGCAACACTGAGAATAAAATGGCCACCAGTGGAAAACTCAAAGCATTCGCTGATCCACATTCCATAGCGTTCTCCTGTTCAAAAATAGAATTATACAAAATCATTGAATACTACACATTCAAATTGATTGGATAAATGTAACTTTCAGCCACAGAATGACTCCAAATGAGCTGAAAGCCCTGCAAGAGGCATAAAACTGAAGAGTGAACGGTCCACTAAATCTTTTCGAGTGTACTTTTTTCAGCTGTGATGTGGATGAGCATTTTACAGGCAGAGTGAATGGGGTACTTTAAAATAAAATATATGATTATGAAGTACATGAACAGCAGTTTCAAAATATTGGAGAACTTTTCAGTATAGTTTAAAATCTGGTATGGTGTTGATCATCAAAAGCAGATATTTAATACTACAGCATCATGTATTATGTACCTCCGGATGAAATGGATGACAGGACTGTGGCCGTCTGCGATCCTTTTGAAACTTCAGCCTGTCACACTTCAGAGACTCATTATGTGCTCAGAGGTCAAGGCTGATAATTATACAAATACTCATGCTAAACATAACATTCTAAACACGTAGATGTTTTGTTATTTTATAAAAAGGATATAAATGATCTCAATGGGCTCCATGGTAACCGGAGGGGTGGAGCTACAGTCACATTTATTCTCAACAACCACCATGAACAGGTTACTGCTGGGAATCTGCTGAATTACAAATGTCCTGAGAGGAAAAGTACAACAACAAAAAAAGTCAGATTCTTGTTCACAAAACATGTAGAAGTGACTGTTATTCACCTAATGACAAATCAGGTCTGTCCTATAAAAATAAACCCTCTTTAGGCCAGAGAAACCACATATAGGCCTAATTGTACCCTACATTTCTGCATGTCGAAGAAAAAAAGAACACTTTCAAAGAAAACACTAAAACATGACTATATTTTACCTAAATTCAATAATTAAATATATCCAAATATCTAATACTCTATGGCCTGGTTTCACAGACTGGCCTTAGACTAAGTCAGGATTAGGCCATAGTTCAGTTAGGACATTTACGTAATTTTTATAAACGTGCCTTAGAAAAAATATTTCTGGTGTGCATCTTGAGACAAAACAATGGCACTGTTATATTTTAAGATCAGTCAGTGCAAGTTTCTTTCAGTTGAAACAGCTCAGACTTACATTTCAGTCTGGGCCTAGGCTTAAGCCTTGTCTGTGAAACTAGGGGGAATATATATCTTAAAGGGATAGTTCACCCAACAATGAAAATTCTGTCATCATTTACTCACCCTCCAAACCTGTTTCAAACCTGTATGAGTTTCTTTCTTCTATTGAAACACAAAAGAAGAAATTTTGAAGAATGTTAGTAACCAAAGAGTTGACAGTAGCCATTTACTTCCATTGTATTTTTTCCATACTATGGAAGTCAATGGCTACTGTCAACTGATTGGTTACCAACATTCATTAACCCTTAAATGCATAGATGTTTCGCCAGTCATTATTACATATTCGGGACTTTAGGGACCCGGACCTACAGTATATATTCAACACGGATGGATCTCTAACTGTTGCAATAGCATAAAACTCTCCTGATATTTTAATAACAATTACAAAAGAATTAAATGAAGCATATTTTGGGTTCGATTCGAGGGTTCAATTTGAGCAGAGGATTTTACCATCACTGTCATCAGCACTTCCCCAGCACATTCAGCATCTGGCTCATATTCACGATCTCAACCATATTCTGAAAACTATAGTTTTCAATGA